ACAAATACCTGACACCCAAAATTTCAAGGAGAGGCTTATCTGGGTCAATTACCAATGATGTAAGTCTAAAATTGGCTGGCTCCAAGACAGAAACATCACGGTGGAAAGGCATGGGACAGCAAACCTGCTCATTCTATGAGATCCAAGAAGCCAAGAAAGAAGGGAGGAGTCAGGGATGGAGATGCATGCCTTCATTGCCACATCTCTTCCAACCAGGCCCTACATCCTAACAGCACATTTAGCTATGAATTCATCAATGGACCAATCCCCTGATGAGTGTAATGCCCCAGTTGTCTAATCACCTCCCAAAGGCCTACTTCTGAACACATGAGACTTTGGGGAAACATACTAGATCTATATCATAACACCTATTAACTCATTCAGTCATCCACATACTAATTTTCCACCGCATTTATTGAATGATTCCTATGTTTTAGGCAGTGTGTTAGGCAGAGGGGATGTCAAGATAAAATCACAGACATTACCTTCAATGAGCTTGTATACCACTTGGGAAGATAACAAACATTATGACAGGAATGACGTGTTATAGTAGAAATAATCATCTGTTAATGAGAAGGTAGAATAGTATTTCTAATGCTCTTTTTACTTCTTCAGTTCTGTGGTTCTAAGTCTATAAAAAACATAAAAGCTGTTCACATATCCTTTGACTTTGGGGTAAAACAAGCAAAGAGAAATATAAAGATTAAAAAATTATCCCATTTCCTACACTTAACAGGCCACTGGCTTAAAAGGTAAATGGATGAATAATTGACTCTGTGTGTGTGAGTGTGTGTGTGTGTGTGTGTGTACTTTTACTTCCATCTCTGGAATCCCTGGACCACAGCATTCCTCTTTACTGCAGATTACAGGCATCCTGGCACTCTAGACTATATTTTGTTCAGTGTAAAAGGGATTTGGAAATGAATTTCAGCACTTGTGGTACTAGATGGAGTAGATGAAGAAAGACAAAACTTTTAATTCTCATTTCCATATGTGATTCAAAATTTCAAGTGACATTAGAGAGGTGAGAAATCAATAAGACTCTAGTAATGTATGTGGTCTTCCTTTCTCAACTTGCAGAATTTAGAAAAAGTATAGGCAACCATTATTTGCAGGGATATATCACAAAAATTCAGTCATAGTCACTGATGTTTCTTGTTTTCTGTTCCTGACACCATTAATACTGTGGTGGAAAAATTACCTTCAAGTAAAGCTTCTCATGAGGCAGTTTTAATGGGTTAATAAATATTACTGTAGAAGCTTACCTCTAATGCTTTTCAACCATGGTTAAAAAAAGAAGCAACTAATAATATTTCAATAGGTAGACTTTGTTTAAATATAATAGAGATCCTATGATTGACATATTTCCTGTATCAGACTGTGTTTAATCAGACAAACAGAATCCACTTGAGGAATTTCAAACAGAGCTAATTTAATATAGTGAATTAGTCACAAAGCATTGAGAGAGCTGAAGGCACTAATTGGGTGACATTATCTAGAGAGTAATACCTATAGTAAGCCATTACTACCCCTAAGCCTGGAGGTGCAAAGGAGAAAATGGTATTACCTGGAGTCAGTGGATGGCTGAGACTGCTGAGGTTAGACATGAGTTAGTTGAGTAGACCTTGGAACACACTCACATGTCACTACTGCTGGCACTGAAAGTGCCATTAGAAGCTTGAAAAAAAATGAAGTCTTCATTTCTTCAGTTTCTTGGCAGCTCTTTCCAATGGAAAAATGTAACAGAAAGTCAAGAGAATCTGGGAAATGTTGCTTTGTGGCCTCCCTGTCACTAAGATACAACAAGGGTGAATAAGAACCTGCTGCTGAGAGACAGCACGTATCCCATTGCCTTTTCTCTTCTTGATAATTTGGTTAATTTTCCTCAAACTCTTCTACCACTCTTGATTCAGTGGAGAGGACAGTGCAGTAAACCAAGGAAAGGAGGAAGCTGTAATATGGTGACATCTCATGACAGAAAGGAAAGGAAATTAGTTGGATCTGAGAAGAAGGAAGACAGAAGGGATGTGAAGGGCAAGGGGTCAGGTGAAGGTGTCCTTGAATTCATACTTAATGGGATTCAGAACATTTTGTTGGAGCAAAGTGAAGGCTAGCAGAGAAACCCAATTAAAATTGTGGGGTTCATGATAGAGTTTTAGATTAAGCTTGCTACTTGTTGCAGGACTATTACTGGGAAAACTTCAAATTCCTTGTAAAAGTCTTACATTTTTATCACGGTTCAACACCAATATGGCACCATATGACTGATGAATTAGAAATGATTAAAGTGATCAGCTAGTTTCCTAGATAGCCTAAATAATGCCCCCGGATGTCCTTGGCCTACAAGAGTATCTAGGTATTCTATAATGTTTTGAGTGTTCTATTATTAAAATAATCAGTAGATTATCTTAATTTGGGATTAGAACAAGGATGCTCCAGAGTAGAGTGTCCTTGCTATGACTTGTGTCTAGATGTGCTCCCAAAGCCTCATATAGTCTAAGATGGGGCTTTTTCAAAGGTGAGTGAGTCTAGAGTACATGATGTTGGGATTAAGGGTGGGTGATTACTAAATCAGTTCACTGATTGGCTTGGCACTGCCCTAATCCCGGTAGCCTGGATACAAGGGATAGAAAGAAGCTTGTCTTCCCTCTTGTTGCTTTTGCTGTTTTAGCTGCAATGAACTGCTGTTTCTCTTCTGCAAATGCTTCCCTACCATGTGCCACTCTGCCTTGGTGCCAGCCAACTATGGACTGAAATCTCTATGGTGTGTGAGCCAAATAAACCTTTCCTCCCTTATCTTGTGGGTGTCGGGTATTTTGTCTCAGCAACCAGAGAAAAATAACGAATCCAGTCCTTGATAGCAGAGGGCCTGGCACGATCTAAGGATTTTGGGAATAGGTGCCACCATGACTCTTTTTTTCCCCTCCTACTCCAAAGTACCAGGAAGTACAAAATCTTGGACGCTGGCACAGGATGCTCTGTAACCTGGTGCTGTGTGGAACAGACTGGCAGAGGCCAGCAAGGGTTCAGATGCTGATACACAAGCCAGAGTTCTTTTCCTGTCAAAACCAGAACCCTAAGATCTTCCTGTTATCCCCAGATAGCATCTTGGGAATGAGAGAGGGAGGTGGAATTCCTTGAGAGTAGAGATTGACCTTTGATAAAGAGTTTAAAGTGGACTTTGGCTGAAGTTTTAAGTTCAGACTGGAAGATAACGGTGCGGGTGTGGAGCAGAAGGTGAGGTGTCGAACAATGGAGCACCAGCCATATCCAGCTTATTCTTTGGGACACTGTATTTCTGATATTATGAAGATGTCATGTTTGTAATGAGTTCCAGTGGATGTCAACTGAATTTCTCCAGTTGAACCCTTTATAGAATAGAATGTTTAAAATTTAGAAGTATCCATGACATTTCAAGTAGAATAGTTCCAGAAATAGTTACTTTTGAATCAATGATATTTATTGTTTCATGTGATTTAAAATAGTTAAAGCTAATTTTTAAAAGAAAGTTTTTGTTTTATAGTTATTCATTACTTATACTATCATAGGAAGGTCTTACAGTATAGGAACCTATAGAAAATATGATCTTTTGTTCTGAGAGGCTCCTACTTGAAAATGATTCATTTATTTTTAAAGATAGTATTATTGTCAGAACAAAAGAATAGTCTTTATTAAAGTTTATAAGCCAAAGGAGATGAGATTGTTTCCATTCATTCCCATCTTTCCATAATGCTTTTGTAATGGGTACAAATATTAAAATGATCCATTTTTGTCAAAAAGGGGTATATTCAGATTTGGACAACTTAATAAATAATAACAGAACTCTTAGGTTACCATCCACCTGTGGGACCCTGAACCCCAGAGGTGGTAAACTACCTCGAAGCGACCTGAAAGCCCATAAATTGCATTCTTAGATATTTTATGTGAACTATGATATTAAATTGCATTAAGTAAGTACTTGAATAAGTAAAACAGTAATTTAGAATTAAAATTGTTATGTTTGTGCTTTGACTCCTATAAATAGCAATCTATACAGACTAGTTATTTGTGTCCATAAATACCCAATGATCTCATATTGTGTTAGTTTATAGTTTATGCATTAACTTCTCAGACTTCTGGCTATTTTATTATTGGGTCACCATCATGCTAAACTCTAGGACAGTTTTAGCTGATAATTCCTGAAAAGTGCTTACATTTGAAATAAAAAGCAAAGCAAAAAAAAAAAAAATGCCACAATGCTGACTGAAAAAAATATTTATATTTATATTAAACCCCTCAGCTAGATTCTCAGATGTACCACTGCTTAAAATGCAGTCACCTGACAAAAACAGTTCTAATTATTACCCCCTTGGGCTAACATTTTTCAGAGTGACTGGCTAAAATGCACTCTGGCTCATAATTTCTGTCTCTGACAGTGGAAGACATAACCTAGTTTCCTCTAATGCAAAAGTCTCTAATCTAGAGGGCAAGACCCTGCTCCATATAACACTGAAGGGAGAAAATGCAATTTGAGCACAAGGAAATTGCACACATAGTTTGATAGTTCTACCACTCTCAGAATTTTTTTCTTCCTCGGGTTTAAATGTCTTGTTTTATTTTATACTAAATTATGACCTGGCTGAAATTGCTATGTTTTCTTTGTCATATTGTCGAAACCTCTTACTATAAAAGTGAAGGTTATACTATAGTTCCATACTTTCATTTTTTCACGGGGTGGGAATGCTCACATTTTGACAGTTCAGCAGTGAAAACATTAAAAGTTACTGTGCTTGCTACAGCAATATTTTTTCCCCTTTGAATAATAGCTCTTTTGTCTTGGCAAATGGGGCATATATGCTGCTTTAGAAAAAGGTAATTAAATCGTTTTGAAATGTCGGAAGTGCAGATTTTGGACTTGAACTAATCAGTAACAATTTCATTGTTGAATCTGTGAACGGACAAACTTTTAAGAGTTCTGGGAGAGGTGAATTAACCTTAAATTGTTCTGGTTCACTTCACAGGCGCTGGCTGAGTAATACATTGCCCTGAAACCCATAAGCCAGGAGGCGAAAGAAGTTTCAAGGAAGTTAAGCCAGAAGTGTTGGAAAGCATGCAGTTATCGGCATACATTGATGGGGATTTTCATTAACAATTTTTATTTCTGTGAATTGCAGAGCCATCACCCCCTTTCTTATGGAGTTCCGCTGACAGCTGCTACTTCACACCTTCCTTCCAGCTGGGAGGGTGGGCTGATGGCTGCATGCATATGCGCCTAACACAGAGTAGCTCCTTAGCCAGCAACCTGGGCATCAGCTTCCTCCTGGAGCCCACATGTGTCACCTTCAGGTCTCCTGGGACTCCCGTCATTTCTGTGAATTCATCAGGAGGCTCTGGTAGAAGGCAGGAGGCCAAGCAGGCTAACCGGTGACTGGGAACAAAGGCCGGTTCAGGAGGAGTCACTCACCAGCGTGCTAAAGAACGCTTCCTTTCTCCTCCATAACGTGTTTAAACCCTAAAGATTCAGTGAATAGCTTTCGGTGCTCAGAAAATAAATGTGAAGGGATAACAGAAAGGCAAGATTTTTTTTAAAATTGATTTTAACAGACATTTATAAAATAATTGTATGTAAAGGCTTGCCCATGTTATAGGGTAAACTCGTAATTTCAGTAGAAATAATAATTCTCAAGTATAGTACTATAACTAGTAACCCTCAAATTCCTCAGCTCCCATGGGAAGATATTACAATCTGACTAATCTCATCACTAAACATTAGATGCTAGTCTGGACAAAATTAGACTCAATTATTGTTATGGTGTGACAGCTATAGTCTAACACATATTGAAAATATTCTGTGTGGCATATTAACTGGTATAATCCAATGAGCTCATGAAGAATTTTTATAGTTCATTTCTAGCAAACTGAAACATTGCTTTTACTTTTCAATCATTGAAACATAAACATCAAAGTGCTTCTTAAAACAGTTTATCATTTTCTTACCACCTTTTGTCATCTAGCTCCTTGGGAAACAAATAAGAAGACTGGGAAATAATCTGTACTTAACTGCCCCTGAGGTGATAGTGAAGCTTCCCCCGTCTCCAGGTACCACTGACCCTTTTAAAATAATAGCCCAGTCTCCACCAGAATAGCGATGAACGCGTGGAGAACAGGCGATTCCCATGGTCTCCATGGTGGTCATCCTTGGGGCCAGTTCACCCAGGCTCTATTGGGAAACATTTTAGAGAAATTCACTTGTCAGAGTGCAGACACATTGAACAGTTCTTCTAGATATTAAGAGTATTTCTGAAAAGAGATTTATTTAGTATATCTAATACTATAAATCATCAGTAGAACATATACTATAAACTTTGGATGCAAGAAAATAATTTGCAATGAAGGACGATTATATACTGAATACCATGTTCTGAAAATATTTAGACATTAAGCTTGTCGTTGCTCATATTATTTGTAGGTCTATAGACATATGTCACAATTTAGTCCTTCATTTTTAACCTCATAATATTTTCCATAGGTGACTTCCAAAATGGTATATAGCAGAGCTTGCTTTTAGGTGTTTTAGTCAGTCTTGTTATTCATAAATTTGACAGTCTTCAATTATTCCTCGGTTTGGTGGTCTGATATTATCAGAGTAATTATGAAATATTTTTAGTAATATTTTGTCAACAAAGTGTTTGATATTTAAAGCAATATGCCTGTATTATCTGCAGCACTGAGAACTGAACTCAAGGCCTTCACACCGACCTACATCTCCAGCCCTTTTGTTATTTTTTATTCTGAGCCAGAGTCTCACTGTCGCCCTTGTAATCCTCCTGCCTCAGCCTCCTAGCTATGTACGATGATGCCAAATTCTCTATTAGCTCTTTTAAAGCACATAAAATACTAAAAATAATTGTAAAATTAACTCAACTCAAATGAATATCCAGTCCATCCAATGCTATCTTTATACATACCATTTATTCAGGGCTTGCTATTTAACATGTAAGTCTTCAGCATCAAGCATTTATTATTGCATTTAATCCTCAATACAATGTAAGGAAAAAGTTATTATTTGGTTAATTTTCATAAATAAGGAAACTGTGGCAAAAATAAGATGTATAACTTATTCAAGTAGAGCTGGTAACTAGAATTGGTATAAAAACCTCAGTTTTATGTTTTTGGCCCTTGCATTTTATTGTATTGCCTTTCACAAGTTAATATTGATCTAAGAGACTTTTTTATCAGTACATGTTTGCAGTGCATATGCTAATAAAAGAGGTATGGCACTGATTCTTAAAAATGTAGGGGTATAAAATTCATTGCTAGGAAAAAGATTGTTCTGTAAACAAATGTTTGTAGTTTCATGACCCTGCCCTCTGTCACTAACCTTAGACCTCAGCATCTGTGGAGTATACATTTTGTCTCCACAAACAAAGCTACAAAATATGCATTTTCCCCGTTTGCATGTGGGAATGCTGTTTAAGAAGGTATAGACTGGAAATGACTCAACAGTTCCATAGAAAGTGGGCAATTTTATATTTTTTCCTCTTTCATGTTAGTGAGATTTTTATTGTAAAGCAAGAGAACATAATACATTTAATTAAAATTATAAGCTACTGATATCAAGAATATTTGGCACAAAATTATGTGTTAGAATAGATTTTTTGGGAAATGAAAATTATGACCTGTTTTGGAAAAATTCACTGCAGTTTCGCATTTTGATTAAACTAAAAAATAATTCCTTTGATGAAAATTACTTTGATAAAGCTGACTTAAGATGTAAATTCGAAGAACTAAGAATTGTGCAAATGGTGAATTTTCCAGGAGCAGGTTTATTTTGACCTAGACGATACGTAATGTGTCATCTTAAACCTTGAGGCACAATTTTGGCACCACAAAGATCTCTCAGTTGGTACCAGACAGGAAATATTTGCAGGGAGCTTTTGTGCAACAGAGTTAGGCTAGGGTAGAGTGGCACTGGCCTGAGGTCTCCTTGGTCCACCCCTGATTTTTTGTTACCAGAAAGAATTAAAGCAGAAGTGAAACTTTCTTTGGAATTAACTGTCTTCATTTACAAACTGCATGAAATGAGGAATAATAGAGATCATTCATATCTCTGGTTCTTTTATTTTTTGAATAATAACATGTAGCAACCAAGTCCTTGTGAATATTTCTTTTTTTGGCATAAATGGGAAAAATCATAATTGTATTGCTTCTCACATTTGTTTTTTGGGACAAAAGCACTTATTATTTTGTCATTAGAGCCTGCAAAATAAAATCCCAGTGAGATCCATATATACGAATTTGTGCAAAATGAAAACATTTGCACAAATGTCCTATGAATAGAAACCAATTTCCCACAATTCTGAATTCATGATCCTCAGTGAGTTTAACCTCTCCTTCAGATTTAGGTGGTCACACTTTAGAATACGTGCACATATATACAACAGAAAATGGTTTGGGTTTTTAATAAACAAAAATGGCTGGGGCCAGGAATTGCTTTTTTTCTCTTAGCATTTTACTTCAATCTAGTGCTATTTGTGTTTTCTGCTCACTTCTGTGTAGACCACAGTAAACATTTGGAAGGCATTTCATATGGCAAGTTTGTGTATTGCAATTTTTGAGCAATTCAAACATCCCCCTTAAATAAACGAAAACAGATCCCAGAAAGGGTATGCTTCCAACACATTCCCCAAAGATCTGAGTACCGCTGTGCATTCTTGCTCAATTTAAACAAACTAAACTTCAGTTATTCTCCCCTCCCCTAATGGGCACCCCCACTGGGAACACTGTGAGGTTACCACCGCGGACAGGGCCTCAGTACAGCTGGATATGTAAACAAGACCGTAATCCGCATGAAAGAACTCTCAGAGCTTTGGCAGCCCTGGGAGTGTTGTTAACATATTGTGCCAAAGCAATAACAAAGCCATCATTTTTAAGTTTGTTCACGGATTTGTATTAATCAAGAAATTTTCCAGAAATTACTTCTAAATGAGGAAACTTCCAGAAAGTTACTATTTGGCAAGAAGTCTTCCAGATGCCTTTTTTCCCCCTTATCTGTATCATTTTCTTCCAAGTGAATTACAAATTTGTGGAAGTTCAGTTGAGACAGAAAACACATTGCTGATGGGGTGGTGGAAGGGGGCTCCCTTTGGTTCACTCCCTGCTCCATCAAAGCCTTAGTCCCTTTTTTTCCTCTGTTAAGGAGGAGGTGGCCAGCCCATTGAACTTGGCGTTCTGGTGATAAATATTCAGTATCAATATTTGGATGAGAAAAGCAATTATTAAATTACAGTTAGAACTTCAAACTAAGCACTTAGGAAAAAGACCAGGATAAAGGCTGTTGAACCTCTTAAAAAATTTAGCTGTTGGCTTTTACTGACATCTTAGGTGACAGACTCTCTCAATTCAGTTTTCTCAATTTAACTTCTATTTTCAAAACTCGTATAGAAGCAAAGCTTCTGTGAACTATTATGACTACACTCTGGAAACAAGAGGGGAAAGGGGGAAGGTGTCACAGTGCAATTAAGGATAAATAGTGGAGCAAACCTAAAATTTTCATTTCTCCCCATTGCATCATTGATCCGTTATTTATAAAAGCAGTTTTACATATAAATTTCATTTGCTTCAAAAAATCTTGGGTAAAACAAATATTTTGAATGTGCTAATATTCCAAATGCAGGTGGATGGAGTTTTCAGAGTTCTAAAGGGCACACATGTGGCTCTGGCCACAGCTGCTGTGGCCTCGGAGGCCTTTGTGCTGGTAGTGGAGGATCCATCACTGAGAGTTTTGTTGACGGTCTTGGGAATTTCAGGTTTCCCCAGGGTATCTAGGTCAGTCCACCAACAGTGGCTTCAAGGTCGACTGGCCAAAGAGACCTGGCAACATCACTGACTACACCACATGTCTGGATCAGCTTCAGGTCTGCCCTGGAGTGTTCAGGCTCCAAACCAAAAGGAACTGCTAGCCTCCGGTTTTGGTTGAGTTGAGTCATTTATGTATGTCTGTGCTACCTTTTGCATGACATTTATTTTTATTACAACAGAAGAAATGCTTTAAAGGAACGATTGATAGTAAACAAGCTCTTTCTCTACTGAAGACCACCCCTAAGCTCCAAATGAATTTAGAACCAAATACATCTTTCTTTGTTTTATTTCTATGATACACTGTTTAAAGCCCCAATAAAATATGTTTATATTCTGCCTTGTTCTAAAGTTACTTCTGTTCATCTCTAACCATCCCTTTGAAAAATGTAGTGTTCCTGGCTGTCTCCCCAAGTATCTAATATAGCACTTGGCATACAGTAGACTTTGCATGCATGTTTATTTAACTGATTTGAGAATGTTTATTGTTTCTAAAAAAATCCACTTCTCCAAATACATAGCATGCTGGAAGGTGCTCATTGAAACTATCATTTTACTAGGGCAATCGGTTTCACTGGGTCAATGATACTCCAGAAGCCCCCAGAAGACAATTTTACTTACTTAGGGCAGGGTGTATAGTATATGTAATAAGCATTGCAAAGACCTGAAACAATATAAATCATAGCTTCCATTTTGCAGTTTAAAATTGCTCCTCTAAAGGAAACAAAGTAGATGATATCTTCATAGTTTTGGGAATCAACATCTTTTCCACAAAGGACATACACTTGCACTTTCTCTAGGTAATTATCTGTACATTATTGTGGCTTATCTTTGACATATTGATGCTGACTACTTTTTAGGTGTATGTAGTTGTTTCTGTAAGGAACACGTGTTTATTCTCTATCTTTTAACTCTTTCCTCTGGAATGGTCTATTACCGTATGAGCATGGACTCATTCAACTAATTCCACCAGAGCACCTTTACTTGAGAACATCCTTATTTCTGGTAGGTGTGAACCTGTGCTGTGGTGGCTTTATTTATTCATTTTTCTCTTCTATCAGTCAGTGACCAAATCACATTATTCAGGAGGATATATGGGTTTAAATCACCCACAATAAATTTTTATAAATGTAATATAATGTTCCAAATTTTTAAAAGTTTGACTGAAGTTGAACTAAATCAATAGTTTGTGCGTTAACCTCTCTTTTGTGTTCAGAAATTTGCTTCTGGCATAAAATCAATAAGATAAATAAATTATTTATTTCAGGTAATGAGATTAGTTACTTTTAAAAAGGATTTCTTTAATCGCACACTTGAAATTCATTAGACTTAACTCATGAACAGAAGCTGCTATAAATCCAGATGCATCCTAAGGCTGAATTTGAGAAACAAAATGGAAAGAAATGTAGCTGGACACATATGGCACCTGTGATTTAAATTCCATCACCTGAGTATTTTCAGAGCAGGGGCCCTGGTGGAAAATCCAGGGAACAGGCTCTGGGCAGAAGAGATGGACTATCGTTTAGTGTTCAATCACCAAGCCTTCAGGGTGCCTTAGCCATTTTAAGTGGTATCTATTATTTACAGAAAGAGACGTAAGTAAATAAATATTTCTAATAGACAGTCCATGTTAAATTAAAGAAGCTGTTTCCAGTAAACAACAGTTTGCAAAAGTGAATGGGAAGGAGTCTAGTTGCTTCTCATGTATCAGAAAGCCAAAATCTCTGACATATCACATCAGTTAACACAAAACACAGCAACTTCCTGTCCCAGCTATGCTTGCGCACCTGACATCTGGTTATCAACTTCACAATATTTTGTATTAATAAAGCATTTTTAGAGAGTTTTGCTTTCAATGTAGTAACAACCAAATAAATATTTCCTTATATACTCTACCCACAATTTCAGGACAATTGTAAAAAAAAAAAAGGCCACTTTCCATGTCCTGGTTACACTGCTTGGTAAATGTTATAGAAGGATTCAAGAATACAATAGAGATATCAGACTGTAGAGGGAAATCAAAATGGTGATTTTGGGCAGCAATTTTGGATAGGAGCAGGGGGATGTAAACGGGAGTGAGGGATAGTTCTGGTTGGCAAAGGAAAAGTGTTTCAGTGATGAGAAAACATACACACACGTTATAATTTACATTCCCCTTAAACTGGCCACTGGAAGAGGAACAGATAGATGATTAAACAGTACTGACCATGTGTTAGCTTGTCTTTTGGTTGGGGAAGGAAAGACATCTAACTGTAGGAATTCAGATCTATTGTTTATGTGGCTTGTGTTTTGTTAAATCAGTGTGATAACTTGTAATTTGACAAATAAAGTTAAATTACTATTAAAGTATTCCTATGATCACCAACCTAGCTCAATGCCACGCTCATTTAATAAACCGATAAATTAATTTAATCCTACTACATGCTGGTTACTGTATTTTGCAATAATTGGCCAAAACAGAGAAAGGCTCTGCCTTTATAGACTGTATTGTCTTCTTGGGAACCAACAAACAATAAAGAGATAACTTTTATTTAAGTATAAACTGTGAGAAGATATAATTTTATAAACTCATAAGCTATAAAACAAGTAATATTTATTCTTGTGGGTGCCAACTTTCTTCCTCTCCATTTATTATTGTCTAGCATTATTCTGCACTTATGAGCACTGTGTTAAAATGCCTTAAGTCTTATTTAATTCTCACAATTTAAGATATATGTATTATACAATAGTGCAGAAATATAGCTAACTAATGTTCCCAACAGCTAATTCAAGTAGGAACTGTATTCAAATTTAAGACCACTAGACATTTAAGACAGCTTTGCTGCCCCAACTCTCTGACCGAAGGAGATATAGTATTCAATACGCCAATATTTCTAATTAGTTGACATTTTGTCATATGTATTTAAATCTATGAACATGCATAAGGAATCAATCAGGGAAGAGAATTTTCCCACCCAGGTCATCTTTGCAATGTTATTTCTCTCATCACACAGCTGGGCTGTTGAATGTTGCTATTGAAAATCACAAAACTATTTTGAACAGAACTATACCGAGTCATGCTTTCTAATTTTATGGCTGCTCACAATTCTTTTGCTGACTCCCTATCACATTTCCTACAGCAGCATTTCCACCCCATCCTCCATCTCAGCAAATCCTTTACTTCCGACTTGCCTGAAATTAATGTTTGTAAGTG